TATAAAACCCAATACTCTGTTTGCCTTTGTATTATGTTTCATGTATTTTAAGCTTAAAGATAAAGAAAAGTATTTTCGAAACGTTACCAAATTATTATACTGCTCTTTACTACTATTATTTATCTTGTGTATTTCCTTCCTCAAGTATATATATATATATATATATATATATATATATCTTGATAAAATCACACGGGAAGATGGAAACAACGGAGTACCTTAGCTTTCGTCTTTATTCAAGACATCTTCAGAGGCAACTGGATTACATGGACAGAGAGGCGCTTAAATATACAGGGTGACCTAAAAACATGAGGTCAGGTCATAATGATGACATCCACTAATCCCCACACCAACACACACGTAGAGGAGCTAAGGAGAAGGGTGATGACGTGACTAGACAGGTCAGGTCAGAGAAAAGGGACCCACAAAATAACTATCATACATCAAGATCAAAGGTTTTCAAAGCATTTTTAACCTTGGGCCACTGACAAATAAATTTATGTAACATATTATCAGTTTTGAACTGACCATCACTAAGGTTTATTGATTTTAATTCCTTAATCAAACTAGCTTCAACCAGAAGTCTTTCTGTGACACAAGATGATTTGAATACTTCTAAGCTTTTTTCCCAAGCAATGGGGTGATTATTATTCTTAACATGAACGAACAAGGCACTGCTTTCAGATGCAGTTCTGATATTATACTTATGCTGTTTGATTCTGAGCTGCAGTGTTTTTCCTGTCTGACCTACATAATTACAATTACATTTGCTACATGGAATACAATAAACACTTCCATTTACATTCAAACTTGGGCTATTCCTTATTAACATATTGGTAATGGTTGAGTCATACTTGAAAACAACATTAATATTTAGAAGCTTGAGGGACCGAACTAACGGGACAAATTCATCACGATAGGGCAGAGTCAAAATATTCTTAAGTGTAGGAACTTGTCTGGTTTGAGAGGAATGAAAGGATTTTTTAGCCCTTTTAAAGCAACGATCAACAAACACAGAAGGGTACCCCAGTTTCTGTGCAATAGAACGAATGTGTTTAAATTCATCGTCAATAAATTCAGAGCCACGTTTTCATTGTGGATTTACATGAAATATATATATATATATATATATATATATATATATATATATATATATATATATATATATATATATATATATATATATATATATATATATATATATATACATCTTGATAAAATCACACAGGAAAAGGGAAACAGCGGAGCACCTTAGCTTTCGTCTTTATTCAAGTCATCTTCAGAGGCAACTGGATTACATGGACAGAGAGAGGCTTAAATATACAGGGTGACCTTAAAACCATGAGGTCAGGTCATAATGATGTCATCCACTAATCCCCACACCAACACACACGTAGAGGAGCTTAAGAAAAGGGGGGTGACGTGACTAGTCAGGTCAGGTCAAAAATAAGGGACCCACAAAATAACTATCAAACATTTAGATCAAAGGTTTTCAAAGCATTTTTAACCTTGGGCCACTGACAAATAAATTTATGTAACATATTATCAGTTTTGAACTGACCATCACTAAGGTTTATTGATTTTAATTCCTTAATCAAACTAGCTTCAACCAGAAGTCTTTCTGTGACACAAGATGATGTAAATACTTCTAAGCTTTTTCCCAAGCAATGGGATGATAATTATTCCTAACATGAACGAACAAGGCACTGCTTTCAGATGCTGTTCTGATATTATACTTATGTTGTTTGATTCTGAGCTGCCTCTGAAGATGTCTTGAATAAAGACGAAAGCTAAGGTGCTCCGCTGTTTCCCTTTTCCCGTGTGATTTTATCAAGATTTATCTTATCCACGTTTTCATTGTGGATCTACATGAAATATGTATATATATATATATATATATATATATATATATATATATATATATATATATATATATATATATATATTATTATTATTTTTTCTCATTAGCCCAATAAAGCACGCGGACTACTACATACAATCAACACCTCAACCCGCCAGGATTCGAACCCACGGCCCACGACCCCATGACTGTGACCGGGGAACGCTAACCGATGGACCACCAGGATACGAAAAGCAGTCCTAGACTTTGTTATATTTCACACAAAGCCTGTTCAATGAGCTTATGGCGCCGTGAACCTCTAATAGGGACTACCCATATCACGTAGGTGGTCAGAGTAACGTTTTACCAAATCCGGCTTCGAAACACGAGGATAAGCTCGATGAACAGACTTTGTGTGAAATATAACAAAGTCTAGGACTGCTTTTTAATATCCTGGTGGTCCAGCGATTAGCGTTCCCCGGTCACAGTCATAGACTCGTGGGCTATGGGTTCGAATCCTGGCGGGTTGAGGTATTGATTGTATGTAGAAGTCTGCGTGCTTTATTGGGCAAATGAAATATATATGGATCCTCGTGTTTCGAAGCCGGATTTGGTAAAATGTTACCACCTACGTGATACTGGTAGTCCCCATTAGAGGTTCACGGCGCCATAAGCTTGTTGAACAGGCTTTGTGTGAAATATAACAAAGTCTAGGACTACTTTTAGTATCCTGGTGGTCCAGTGGTTAGCGTTCCCCGGTCACATTCATAGGCTTGTGGGCCGTGGGTTCGAATCCTGGCGAAAAGGGATAAGGGAAACAACGGAGCACCTTAGCTTTCGTCTTTATTCAAGACATCTTCAGAGGCAACTGGATTACATGGACAGAGAGAGGCTTAAATATACAGGGTGACCTTATTAAACATGAGGTCAGGTCACAATGATGTCATCAACTAATCCCCACACCAACACACACGTAGAGGAGCTAGTCAGGTCAGGTCAGGGCAAAAATGAGGGACCCACTAATAACTATCCTACATCTAGCTCTAAGGTTTAAATGCAGTTTTAACCTTGGGCCAGTGACAAATAAATTTATGTAACATAATATCAGTTTTGAACTGACCATCACCAAGGCTTAATGATTTTAATTCCTTAATCAAACTAGCTTCAACCAGAAGTCTTTCTGTGACACAAGATGATTTGAATACTTTTAAGCTTTTTTCCCAAGCAATGGGATGATTATTATTCCTAACATGAACGAACAAGGCACTGCTTTCAGATGCAGTTCTGATATTGTACTTATGTTGTTTGATTCTGAGTTGCAATGTTTTTTCTGTCTGTCCTACATAAATGCAATTACATTTGCTACATGGAATACAATAAACACTTCCATTTACATTCAAACTTGGGCTATTTTTTATTAACATATTGGTAATAGTTGAGTCATACTTGAAAACAACATTAATATTTAGTAATTTAAGGGACTGAACTAACGGGACAAATTCATTGCTATAGGGCAGAGTCAAAATATTGATAAGTCTAGGAATTTGCCTGGTTTGAGTTAAATGAAAGGATTATTTAGCCCTTTTAAAACAATGATCAACAAACACAGAAGGGTACCCAAGTTTTTGTGGAATGGAACGAATGTGTTTCAATTCTTCATCAATAAAGTCACAAATATGCAAACATCTCAAAAACATTACAGAAAAAACTGACATTTTGGTAGACTCCAGGTGATTCGATAAAAAATGTATGAAACTGTCTACCTGTGTGACAGACAGGAAAAACATTGCATCTCAAAATCAAACAACATAAGTACAATATCAGAACATATATATATATATATATATATATATATATATATATATATATATATATATATATATATATATATATATATATATATATATATAATCTGCAGGATCAATGTGTACTTGCATCTGCCATACAGTTCTCCAGGAGCTAGCGCTTTAAGAATTGCCTCCTGGACGCCAGACCAGCACCTTGTCCTAACAACACCTCTCCCGCTTTTCCCCGACAAATTTTCCAAGTAAGTACTTAGAATGTTTTGGTAAGCAATACCGGAATCAGGCTCTCCATCGTCCATCTAACTGTCCATAGTTGGAAGCGTTCCAAGTATACGGTTATTACACTGTGTAGAGGAACGTCACTTGAGTTTAAAGTGTAATATATATTCAGTAACTACAAATTTTACTACCAATCATCACAAATATTAAATTTAAAGTTAATTTTGTTGTCAATAGTTTAAATATTATTAGTAGTGTATTGCTTGGGGGGTACAGTTTGTTATATGGTATATCAGTTAACCTCTTGCTTAAATGAGTTCCTTATTAATGATCACAAATGATCTATTCAAGAGTAAAAACATCGATAAGTGTACAAGTAATTTCAACATGGTAAAAAGATGATTGGATTGTAGTGTTGCCGCCACATGATCTTACTACGGCCTGGGTGTATATGGGGGCACATTTACGTCGCCATGGGACTGAAACCGTGGATTACCCTGTTTACCGATTTCCTATAGTTCGGTCCTAGTCATTCGGTCGTTGCTAACATTGATGTATTACACATATTACAGGGTTCGTTTATCTGTTTACCTCCTTTATTATTTTATCTGATCGGAAACAGGATATATTTACTGCTTCAAGCCCATGTATTCGGCCCTGCCTAGGGCGCTGCCATGCCACATCTCATACCCGAGCCCACTGACACTACCAGGCTGTGGTAGTTTACATTCATGTGGAGGCAACTGCACCTTAACTTACAGATAGCAGAACTACATTTTCTACTGAATTAATTTATGGTCTGATCCTTCTCTCTACACCAGGTTCTTTAACACGGCCACACTAAAGGTGGCAGTGATATTAATGTCTCACCACAAAATTATAATGAAGGACGATCCTGAGGCACCGGAGAGCAAGAGGATTTTATACACTGGGGCCATTGCCAACGTTGTAGACTATCTTTCCAAGGCCTTAAATTTTTCGTAAGTTGAAGAGGTGTTGACCTATTTGCCACAGATTTCACATATCATAAGGTTCTTTGTTTTCTTTCTTTCCTTCAATATAGTAATATATTGTTGACAATTGATAATAACTGATTGTCAGTTTCAAAATTATTAATCATCAGATACAATTACGTGATGCCTCTTGACGGAACTTTTGGTACGAAAGGCAACGACGGGACTTGGACCGGCATGCTGGGTTTGGTGAGCAGGGAGGTAAGTGTAGTTAGGCGCTGAGATGTATTACTAACAGCGATGTTACAGCACCCTGGTGATACAATATGCATATCTACTTCCTGTTTCCGAGGATTCAATATCAAGATAGCTTACTTTTGACTGTTATAAGTGAACTAAAATTTCACTCTTCTTTACCGTTCAATGTTCCTGGAATTAATATGTGGGAAGCCAGAACACATCGCCCCTCACAATAGTAATGATAAGAATATTCTAACAGGGCGATAAACTCAGCTTGAACTAAACGATAATGTCTGTTTACTTCCTAATATGTCGTACCTTTGCTAACTCGCATACACCATCTGTAATCCAATAACTGAAGTGACTAATTAGTATTTTCTGTATGTTCTTGGACTTTGTAGGAAGCAGACATAGCTGTGGGCCCATTCAGTTTAACATTCACTCGATCTGAGGCGGTGGACTTCACATGGCCATTGTATTACGACAACACCAAGATTTTAGCTGGTTTAGGGAGGCCGGAGGTGAACCCATGGGGCTTCCTATTGCCCCTCGCGCCGCTGGTGTGGACGTTTATCCTGATAGCACTACTACTGCTGCCTGCATTGATGGTGATGTGTTCTTCATATCTCTTTCCCAAGACACACACTCTCTATGTGTGGCTGACTGACGCTTATGAGTTCATTCGCGTATTATTACAAGAGTGTGAGTTGAGTATAATTCAAAATTAATTCCCTTATTTCTTTTTCGGATCTATATAAATAAATTAGATTAGGGCATGCTTTGTTTATTTCCAGAAGTGTAAGAAATTTTAAGTATAATATTTTCTTGTTAAGATAAAGATTTATAGATAAAAAATCTTTGACAGGTAAAATATTCAATATAATTTTCTTTTAGATTCTTAGTTACCCTTACTTTATCACTTCCGATGGTTTATGTAAACTAAAGTTGCAATGGGTGCGAGACAGCAACCCTTAGAACAGGAGGCGAATATTGCTAGAGTTATGCAGTGTAATATTGATTTCATGCACATGTAGAAGATGGGAGAAACCACAAGAAGAAATAGCAATATATATGAGGAAGTGTGAGGAAGTGTGCTAAGGTTTGGTTAAATAATTGTTATTCCTGATCACCTTGATAATTTCTTGTTTTATTCTTTTAACCAGGTATTTCGATCCCGAGCGACTGGTGGTGGTGGCAGCGGGTGGTGTTGGCGGTGTGGATGTTGATGACGCTGGTGTTAACACGGAGCTATGCCGGCAACCTCATGTCCCTCCTGGCCGTGAGACACATTCCTCAACCTTTCCAGTCTCTCCGGGAAGTTATTGACGATCCTTCAACAATTATGATATGGCAGAAAAATTCGATCAATGCAGAGTATCTCCGTGTACGTCATCATATAGAATGCTTTCATAATTTCGATGTTGTCTTGAAATAGTGTTCTGCCCTCTACATGTTGAAGATAAAAGGCTTTGGTTGTTATAATGAAATACCGTGCTTCCACAGCCAAGGTCTTAAACACAGAACACAAGTATCTACATCAAACATCAGGTTTAACAAACTAGGAAAGAAAATATAACTTACTGAGCTTGCCCACCTTATGTATAATGTCATGCTTCTCAGTGGGAGATTACATAATGTTAAAAAAGATAAACAATAATAGAATTGAGTGCTTTTTAAGTCATGTCAAAAGGTAGGTTAAAGAATTAAAGCAGTAAAAAAAAACTATAATTAGGCAGTAACAACAGATATGGATTACTGAGAATACTGTTAAAGCCGAAGACAATTTCTTAAAATATTTCACAAAATAAAAATTTCCCAACATAGTAGCATATTTCAGTATACAATGTTTACTTGGTTTTATTTTGTAATTTTTAAATTCACTTGTAATAACACTTTCCTAAATATAACATTATCTTTACTCATCCAGACAGTGAAATCTGGCATTATCCGTGAAGTGGCGGACTTGGAGGCTGAGGAACGAGTGATGTACAGCACACACAAGGAGTACAAGAAGGTGGTGAACACATTGATAAGGAACGGCCGACACGTCCTCGTCGATGTTTACATAAACCTTAGGAATCTGATGGCGGAGGACTTCACGACTTCAGGTCTTTATTCTCAATAAAACTTTATATATATATATATATATATATATATATATATATATATATATATATATATATATATATATATATATATATATATATATATATATATATATATATATATATATACTTCATTTTTAGTCGATAAAACACACGTACTTTGAACATATTATCAACTACCTCACCAGCCAGGACTCGAACCCTCGACCTACTGCGTGGGACTAGGGCACTTTATGGTCGGTAACGTTCCCTAGTCCCACGCAGTAGGTCGAGGGATCGAGTCCTGGCTGGTGAGGTAGTTGATTATATATATATATATATATATATATATATATATATATATATATATATATATATATATATATATATATATATATATATATATATATATATATATATATATAAATGATGCATTTGTCTATCCTCTTCCCCAATTTATATATTCATAAGTCATATGAAATAACTCTTTAAATAATTTATAAGATAACAGTATTTTAAAATCTAAAACATATGTATTGTATGGCAGGTCAGTGCGATTTCTACACGTCAAGAGAGGGCTACCTACATTTTTCTTCAGGTATCATAAGCCAGAAAGACAACCCTATCGTACCTGCTTTGCATAAAAGGTGATAATAAATAATATTCAATGAATAACAAAGTTACTTTGGTGGTCATAAAAGTCTGTGAAAGTAAATATGTATATGGAAGTGGTTACAAATGTGTAAATGTGTTCTAAGTGTTTAATTAACCTCTCTTAACTTAGTGTGTTTACATTTTGAATGATACTATACAGTATTTTATGTTACTTACTCTTTTACTATAACCGAATGTTAATTAACTTAATGTAAAATACCTTTTATTAAGAATGGTATTCCCTGTTCTCACTACGTAGGGTCTTGGCACTGACAGAGTCCGGTCTCTTCATGCAGTGGTTCAGGACAAACATCCCCAACTCTACAACGTGTCTCAGTCCACCAAAGAAGATCACCGTCCGTACCTCTCTCTCCTTAGCAAATTTATGGGTAAGGTAATAATTACGCATTGCTAATAAACAGTCAGTTTGATTCAATGCGAATACTCTTCTAATTTATCGAACTAATTTATATTGAGCAATATATTAAATTACTATTTTTACTAAACTTGTGACATCTTATAATGTAGAACATTAACTCATAATCAGACACTTACGACGTAAACCTTTATATCTCAGGGAATGTTCGTGGTTCTGGCTGGCGGGTGCGGTCTCAGTCTCCTGGTGCTGTGTGTGGAGATGCGCTGTTCTCGTATTCTGTAGTAGTGAGCATAAATGTATAGAGGTTCTAATTAAGACGGCGAGTTAAAGTTTAACCAGGGTGTTTTCCAGGTTCCTTGAGTCATGAATAATCATTCTCGAAGGAGGGGGAAAAATCCCTTGGGTTCCCCAGACCTTCCCAACCCAAGGCCCCCGGACACCCCAGGAGAAAGAAACAGTCACAACTTTCTTAGTGTTTTTTTCTCAACATATGATCTCTTTATGAATAGGTATTGCAAACAAAATGGATATTATGTCATAGAGAATGTGTTCCATCGTGGCTGTTGTGTTGAAGGTTTTAGCCGAATTTCTATTATGGGCGATTTCTCAATACTTTACCTTGAAAAAATGTGTTTCCGCATCAAAATGAAATGAAATGGCATCGTTGTGGTCCAATGTTTTCAAATAAAATATCAAAATAGGGCTTTACGTGGTGGCGAAAAGAGAGATTCGCGAATTTCAGAAACTGGCTGCAAAAAACTGGTTCGACCTGATGAATACTTAACCATTCCTCAACTATCTGTCAGGCTGAATGCTTCACGTCAAGCATGTTCAAGGATAACTTAATATACACAAGATATTTTTGCCGATAAAATCTCAAAGGAAGAAGAATGGGCAAGAATGGTGGCCTATATGCTCAAAGACCAAGAGGAGAAGAACAAAGACCCTTTCAGCACATGGTCTGCTGATCATGGTTCCCAGGGTAGTGAAGTTGTTCTTTCCCTTGGTGGACTGTTCCCTGCATTAAAACAACCATCGAACGATCGAGCAATTATCCTACAGTACATGCCATACAATTGATTATCATGAGTACAGTCTACCTAAACCCTGAGCAGGTGCCTATCGTCACGGGAGTCCAGCCAGTCTACTCATCCATGAAAAAGCTTCAATAGTCTTACCTTTAAATAGCCAGTAACATGATTGTAATGTTAGGATGATTCCACTTGGAAAAGTAGGTCCTGAATCTCCGGGTGACCTCTTGCATTACAAGGATCACGATAGTCATCAGACATTGCCGAAGCCGGAATAGCAACCGTGAACGACCTATGCCCTACTTAAAGCCACACAATTATCAAAATTAAGGTATTCCCTTCGGGTGAAAAATTATGTCGGCCTGACAAAGCTTTTCCAAGAAGCTCATGAAGAATCCAGATTTTTCGATGGTCAAATGGGCCGCTTCCATGGCATCATCTTCAGACAATCCTGTTGAATTTTATTTGATACCAAAGTGAAACCAACTTTTGTCTATACTTGTAGAATTTGCAGTCCCTTGTCCTCATGTTTCTTCCATCATCATGAGGGAAACAACCGAAAGACCGAGTTCCTCACTGATGTCCGAAGCCTTGTTGACGTCATTCTAAGCCGGGGAAATCCTTTTCTACTAGATGGAGAAGATCTTGTGAGCTTGGATGGAAAGCTCAGTACCGATAAGGATTCAGTCTGTATCTTTGAAAAGCAAGGCCGAGACCAGTACGATAGCTTTGTGAAAGATGTTATCATCGAGAGGAAGAAATCATATGAGGACCCCATTACGAAGAACTTTTCCTATTTTTTCTGATCTATAGCTCGACCATGACGCAACCCAAAGAAACTCCAGTTGCTCAAAGCCTCCAACTCAGTCTTCAGCCAAATGTATATTGCAACAAGTACTCACGAAGATAATCTCGACGTATTCTTCTCCCATGAGGTTCATGCCTTTATCCCGTCTATGGCCGAGAGTGAAGAAGTGATGTAGCATTCGTAGAAGTTGGATATCACTGACTAGCTCGAGAAGATCAGTGAATCGTGGAATTATCTTAAATTTGCAATGGACCAGTTCCGGCAAACGATCGTCTTGTTGAGGAGTACTCATCCACACATTGATTCTTCGCGGTGATGCTTCATAGAAAATAGATAATCTCCTACCAATCACATTTCAGGACGATATCATTATGCCAAATTCTAAAAGAGATATGCTTGGACTCACCATTTCCTCTAAAATATCATGGAAGCCACACATCCACAACAGCTGCCTCCCGAAGCTGGGAATGATGTACAGATGCCGTAGCTACTTGACACAAGAGCAGTTGCTTCAAGTTTATAAGGGATCATTTGTCATAAATTGGAGTACTGATCTCATGTCTGGGGTGGCTCTTCTTCTGTTCACCCATAAGCTCATGATCTCTCTTCCATTTCTCTTCGACGCAATACTGCTTCACTTTCTCTTTTACAGGTAATTTAACGGGAAATGTTCCTTGTATTTGGCATCCTGTGTACCGCCGGCAAGGCCGTGGGCTTGTAACACTCGTCTTGCCCGCTGTGCCCACCGACTCTGTGTGGATCGGTAAAACTAGAATAACCCGTTATAATACATCCTTCTTTCCTCACATAGCTAAACTGAGAAATGCTCTGCCTTCTTCTGTGTTTCCATACTCTCATAATCTGTCTCACTTCAAAAAGCTGGTTTCCGGCATCTTCGTGGAGTAGATTAATATATTCTTTTTCTCTTCTATTTTAAATTTCTTTTTCCTCTTATTTTTTCGCCCCCCAGGCCCCGTTGTGGGTCGATGATCTGTAGCCGGGTGGCTATTCCCCGTAAAAAAATTTAATCTTTGAAGATTACAAAGATTCGTATTTCAAGAAATACATTAAAGCTGAGAAGGAAGGTCTACAGTCTACAAATTGTTTGGGACTCGTATAGAGATGAATCTATCAAAGATGAAACCAGGTCAACACGAGACACAGGAGTGCATCTCAAAGTTAGCCTGAAGGTAAAAATACTCAAAAAGTGGTCCGGATTCCTGCGAGACAGCAAAATCAAAGCCGGGCTCTTTTAATTCCTTGGAGATGAACCCAACGAGATCCAATTATCTCCGGATGATCTCTGCATCCCCAGCCCGTATGGGAAGACAGTTAAGCGTTGGGGGACTAGGCTAAGACATGGATGGACAGTTCTGCCAAGAGGAAGCAGACACACGACTCGCACTGCAGGTCATTCGTACTCTAACAACAGGCCATTCAAATATCTTGGTGAGGATTTCCAACTCTGATGTTGTGATCATCCTTATCTACCATTTCTCTCTCTTTGAAGCCACAACTGTCGCCAACTGCTAAGTTTCTGTCAGCTACGGCTCACGGAGGCATCGTTGAATTGTGAGCAACAGGGATATTGCAGAAGCCTTAGGTCAAAAACTAAGCCGTGCCCATCCCCTCTTTGTTACACTCACTGTTTGTTATTCAACATCTCTATTGAAAGTCCTTTCAAAAGGCCTTTGCTCCAAGGCCTTGAAGAAGTGCCCAGACGATGTCATTGAGACCATGGCTTCCTTCCAGCCCTATGACGAGTTGACCTAGAAAGTCAGCTCTTCAAATCTCTTGAGCAATTCATCATTCATGTTTATGTAGGTGTGAAGTCGGCGAATCACCTAAGTTAGAACGTGGAAATGATTTCATCGTCCCAGAACGCTCTGTACCACCACTGTCAAAAGGGTATATCCCCATGATCCACTAGTTTGCGAATCAGACCCTTGTCTTCACGGTTCGAAAAATGTTAAAGGGAGACTGATTTCACAATCGCTTACAAATTAACAAATTGCAGTGGTGTGCCAGGAGCTAGTAAAGTGTGGGTGTCAAAAACCATGCAGTCGAGCTTGAAGCTACAAGAATGGGCTTCCTTGCACAGCCATCTACAAATGCCTGTGGAAAACTTCCCAATTTCAAATATTGAACAATGAATTCTGCAGCAAATAAACTGAAATCAATAGAGAATAAAAAAAATATATACTGTATATAAAATATACAACACCGGCCAAACCCCATCCAAAGTTGGAACTTGCCTGATCGAAGCTATTATATATTTCTACCGCTTTTGAATAGTAATTAATAAAATAACTGTCTGAATTGTTTTAATTTTTAATTAATCTGTTCTGCATATATTTTAGTCCTTTTAATCATGCTACCGACCATGCCACAAAGACACGTCTTTGTGGCATGGTCGGTAGCGTTCCCTGGTCCCACATAGTAGGTCGAGGGTTCGAGTCCTGGCTGGTGATGTCGTTGATTATATGTTCAAAGTCGGCGTGTTATATGGACTAAAAATGAAGTATAAATGGTACCTCGTGTTTCATACCAGCTGGATTGGGTAAAATGCTACTGACATCCACCTAAATGGCAGGGTCAGTTCCCAATGGGAGGTTCACGGCCTATCAGCTCGATGGACAGGCTTTGTGTGAAATATATATATATATATATATATATATATATATATATATATATATATATGAGTATGTTTGTGTAAAACCCTATTTTGATGTTGCTTTAAGAGAACGTTACCTCAGAGATAGCATTTTCTTTAATTTTCATGAGGAAAAACAGTTTTTGAAGGAAAAGCATGGGAAAATGGCCACCAAAATAGAAATTCGGCTCAAACGTCAATACTGCAAATATGTATGAAAATATCATCTATTACTATCTATCCATCTTTCTAGGACCTATCCATAGAGGCGTCATATGTCCAAATCAAACAAACGATAAGAAAGTTATGACAGTTTCTTTCTGCATCACCTGGGGAATCCAAGGGGCCACCTGGGGACCCGATTGATTTTTCTTCTTTTTGCCCAAGGAACCTGAATTACAATTAAGGTGTTCATGCCTCCCTACTATAGACTTGAACCATCACCACAAGTGACCCACGACGCCATCATAAACCTTGAACTGTATGCTGCAGCTTTTATTAAATACAAACCATACATTGATACTACACACTAATTTCTTAATTTGTTTTTTCTTTTTCAATATATATATATATATATATATATATATATATATATATATATATATATATATATATATATATATATATATATATATATATATATATTTAAATGTCGTATTTTTTATTTTTTTAT